AAGTGATAAAAAGCAGTTGCAAATGTTGTACAAAATAAATATCACCACTACTCATAATTTGGTAGAATAACAGTGTTTTTACATTTTATTGGTGCAAAGATATGTAATATCTAATTATTATATTAATATTTAACTTGCATTGGAAAGGTTTCCGTCATATCAGGGTTGGATTAACTCTCTGCAGGAAAGTGGCCTGGAAGGGCCAAGTTTGCCCATCACTGCTCTAGAGCATGCAATTGTGTTTCAGAACCTGAAAGTGGAATATTCCAGCATAGTCATCTTGAAAGCTCTGGCCATGAGGGACGACCCTATGGAGGAGTCTTTCATTGAGAGTCAGTGAGGCTATAGCAGCGAGGAGCCAGCAGTCACCTGGCCAAGAAAAAAAAAGATGAGGCAGGGTGAAATATAATAAAGCCACTAATTCAAAAAGCAATTTAAACTGCAATATCAAAATCCCTGAAAAAAATGCTTACCAATATTTTGTCTTTTAATAAAACACAGCAGTTGAACTACCAATCTACAGCCAGCAGGGGGACAAAGAGAAAGGGGTGGGGTTTATTTTCTCTGTGAGGCCTGTGTGAAACCCATTCCTGTCAGATCTCCACCTCAGAGCAGAGGAATTTTTCACAGCCAAAGAAACCATAAGAGGCCAGTGGCAGGCTGACCATACACTACCACTGCTAGTTGAGTTTTGTTTTGAATAATTCCCATTAGTGTCATATGCTAGTTTTGATGACTTTTCTATTACTGTAAAACATAGAAAATATAACTAGTAGGTGTGTGCAGACTTTTGCCTGGAAGTGTAACTTATATAACTGATACTAGCTTATACTAGCTTAATAGCAAGCAAACTATACTGTACAAGGGCGGTAACATATAAAAACTAAAAAAAATAAATATCTGACATGCACATGGATTGAGATAAATTGGCACAATTACAAACATGCACTGACTCAAGGTCAGTGGGAAGTGAATGAGTCACATGCAGACACGCCTCGGCTCAGTTATATGAGCTGCTCTTTCTGCGATAACTCACGCTGTGAGCTTTACAGCCAAAGAATCATTTCATCCTGCCAAGAAAACACTTAGAAACTATGCATACTGATGACTTTTGTACAACCAGAAAACTTACCCAGAGCTCCTTGACAAATGTCTGTCCGTGATGCTCCACCCACAATGAACTGAGGATCATCACAGAGCTCCTGCAGGAAAGGAGGGATTAGAGGGGCTGAGAGTGGAATTGGGCAACCCATGATTTTTCTATTAATAAATCAAGACTTTATAAGAATAGTTCAGCCAAAAATGAAAAAAACACCCTCATTTTGTAACAAACCCATATGGTTGTTAATTAATTAATTTATTGCATGAATCTTTTAAAATGTGGGGTGACCATGAACTGTCAATGTATGGAAGAGTGTTATTTTAGCATCATTAGGATACTATTACAGTTTAATAATAATAAAAGTTTTTATTTTTGTATTTTGTTTTCATTGTAATTTTAAAGTTTTCAGAATTTTGTATGTATTTTTCATTTTTGTTCGTTTAGTTTTTGTTAATATATCGATTTAGTTTAAAAAAAATTTATTTCAGTTTTAGTTGTATTTATTTTAGTACATCAAAAATATAGTAAATAATAATAATAGTAAATAAAAAAAGTTGCTTTGTCAGCTAGCTGAGATAAAATAAGTTTAAGCTATTTTATTTCAATGGAAACCATAGAAACTACTATTTTATTTCAGTTAACATTTATTTTATTTCAAGTAACATTTTTTATGGTTTTAGTTTTAGATTTAGTTAACTATAATAACCCTGGAATTGAAAATAAGATATTTTCATGCATTATGTAAAAAAAAAAAGACAAGCTTTGGAATGACTGCCACACCTATGTTGCCAGAGAAACATACTCATATTCCGTAAGGAAATAACAATGAGCCATATACATGAAGCCACCTTAAGAGGAGGAATAACGTGTACTCTGACTAAGTGTGTCTACAGAAACATCCATGTGTATGTGACTTTATAATCGGGACAACAGCTGCAATAGAGAGAAAGGAGGGGTCAGTGCAGTTATAAACATTCTGACTATGAACTTCAAGGATTGGGTGGGTCATGTGACACTCAAGACTGAAGTAATGGCTGCCTGCTGAAAATTCAGCTTTGCCATCACAGGAATACATTTCAAATTAACATATATTAAAACTTGTAATTGTAATAATATTTCAATTTTACTGTTTTTACTGTATTTTTTATCAAATAAATGCAGCCTTGTTGAGTATAAGAGACTAAGAGGTAGTGTAAAAAGAAAATCTTTTCCCCTCACCATAGGGCGCATCCACTCCACACCACGGGTTTTGGAGGAATATGGGGCAAGTTCTTTGAAGCCGAGAGAGGGTGGTTCGGCGGGGAAGCAGGGGTCTTCAAACAGGTAGCCCCCTTCCAAACACTCCTGTTTGAGGGCCTCAAAGTCCTGGTTCTGGAAGTGTAAAGCCTGCTCAAAAGAGCCCACGCCATCTGCCTTTAGCCTGTTAGCGCTGATCTGTGCCGAGATTCCTCCGTATGAGAACATGCTGGAGTCGTGAGATGCAGAGCGGGTATAAATAGCAAAACTGATAGCAAAATGATTCATACTCAAATACTTCAATAATTTTGTGTAGACAATGAGTACATTGAATTGTGTTTTGGATTATAATAATAATAATAATAATAAATAAAGACAAACAAAAAACTCTTTAATTGACATGTAAATGCAAATTATGCACACTTGCTTTCAGAAGACCATACACTCTGTGAAAAAAAAAAAGTACAAAGCTGTCACTGGGGCTAAAAATGACATCTTCGTACCGTATTTACCCCTAAATAGTACACATTAGTATCTTAAAGGTACATATTAGCACTTTAGAAGTACATATTAGTACCTAAGGCGTATATATTAGTACCTTTTAAAAGGGTACTGCCCTAGTGACAGTTGTACCTTACATGAAGGTTTATGGGATATCATCACCATGACCAAAACAATGAATACCGTGTGTAAAAAAATATGTAAAGTATTTTTAGTACTTCGTGGTTGTTAAACATTAGTGGAACATGTTAATGTGATGAACTCGACAGTTGGTAATTGCAAAAATGGCCCAAAAAATATTTAGTTCAGAGAAAAGTTGTGCATCATTTGTTTGCAGATGCTACTTGCTTTGATATTTAGTTTCTAAGGCAATTTTACTAAATATTTTAACACTAACTTTCGTGTCCAAATACAATTTGGCTCCACTGAAGGCTGTGGGCATCCGTAAGATTACTAAAAATTACTTTAAAATATTATTCCATATCAATAAGTTTAAAAATGCAAACAAAACAGATACAGAAGGTCTGGTGTTAAATGCTGTCTTTGATAACTGTGATGAATGCTGCACTGTTTGTAGACTCATAATCTGCTTTACAAGAATCTCACTCAATTTTTAGACTTAAATATTGGTATGGCAAATCATTTTATGTATAGACTGTCACAGCATTAGCATCATATTTCTCTTATCTCTCTGTATCAATGACTGCATTGTGCTGCTGGCCTCAAAACTCTCAACAGAGTAGACTGAGGGCCCCCCATTCATTTCAACACAAATCACACGGAGTGTAACCACATCCTGCATTGTATTTAAATAAGCGTACTAAAACTATTAAAACTAAGAGAAATCCACCACAGAACCGTTTTTAAACCACAATCATAATATGTAACATTTTAAAAACACTTTTAGTGGCGATTTATTAAGTGCCTATGGTTGTTCTGTACATTATTTCATTTCTAAAATGTATGGCCATGCCAAACATTTTGTCGTGTTGTCTTAGTAACTTCGCATTCAACCTTCGCAAATCACTGCGGTTCATTTAATGTTTCATTTCAACTGCATTTTCGAGCGATAGTACATAAGCCTAATACGTTTTCAAGCGTCAATACGAGCATAACATACATATCTGACACGGAATAATGTGTTCAATGCGACAAACTAACAGCAGGCCGACGGAGTCCAGCAACACGGACAGAAGAGAACGAAATAAATCTCGACATGATTCACTGAGGGCAGAAATACAAGAACCGCTAAACTTGCCTTGCAACTGTGTCCTGTCAGTCTCTTCTCTGTGTGGGATGTGAGATATATACAGTTATATTCTCCCGAAAGATAAGCGCTGCACTAGTGTATTAAAGCTTCTTGTGTCCAGACAGAGTCCAGAGGAGGCGGAGCGATAAACACTGAGACCGACAAGTGCACTTGTCACGAGATACCGGTAAAGTGCTTTACAAATAACGGGTCCGTATTATGGTGGATTTGAGAGGATCCCTTAGTTATAATTTTTCTAACGGAAATAAAAACAACACGATCTATAAATAAGTATATATTCTTTTTACATTATTTTATGGATCATATCACAGCATATGTTATTTGTATCAAACAGTACACTCTAAAAAATGCATACTTTTTACATTATTTTATGGATCATATCACAGCATATGTTATTTCCTCACGCACCGGATGCCGTGCGCGCGCTCAAAGCAGTTGGACATACGTAGTGGTGTATTAAGAGGTAAAAAATGATATAAATACTGTTCGGTTTCTGGCACAAACCGATCGTTTCGTGTCTTAGGACATCAATGTGTCGTCACGAGCCGCAGGGTTTAATTTGGATTTGTCTGTGCATGTTTTTTTTTACTCTCATAGATTTTGTTACCATTGCCATGCATTATACGACTGATAGACTGCAACGGTTAAAGTTAAAAATCATCATACGTGTTCTACTGAAGAAACAAAGTCACCTACATCTTGGATGCCCTGGGGGTAAGCAGATAAACATCAAATTTTCATTTTTGGGTAAACTATCCCTTTAAGTCCTATGGTTCTGTCATCCGTTTGTATTTCCATAAAGGTAAAGGTAAGTTTGTACGAGTTTATGAATAAACAGCTCGTTTTAAAATCTTCACCAAAATACAATTTGAGGCAAACATCAAAAGATTGTGTAGCGAAAATTACTGACAGAAATTCTCAAGAAGTCGACACCCCTGATAGCCACTAAATAACATGCACACTGGAAAATCATGGTACAAATAATACAAGATAACTTTATTTGTTTCTCTACAGCAACAAGGCTGTATATTGTATGCATATAAATTCCAAATGGGCCATTTGGAAACACCAGTGCTTGCAAGGCAGCAAAGGAAATAAAACTTGGTTTCAGGCTTGAATATTAAATTTCATAAAAAAATATAAAGTTCACCAAAAACAAACAACAACAACAAATAGATTGAATAGATTCTGTGCACTGAATCAAAATTACAGCTTTGTGGCTTTTAATACCACCTGCAAAGATTATCAATAGCAAATCGTGGTTCTTGGCTGTTATTATGTGGCTGTTTCCCCCCCTATGATACATCACATTTAATTTTTTACACAACAAGTAAAAAAATCCTGAGTTTGTCAAGCGATTTCATTAGGTCTGTAATATTACTGTTGGTTTTACATTTTCTTGCGCTTGCTTACAAAACCAAGATGCTTGATTCATTGCCAGTGCATTGTCATGTAGTCGCTTACTGGCCAAAAATGTTCACATCCAAGTTTGATATGATAATCTGGTCCCTAAGTCTATATGATCAGGTGAAAATTGATTAATTTAAAGTATTATTTAAATATAATTTGAAGTAATTGCACAATTCTCCTTAACAAGCCACACAATTTGGAGTAGAAAAAAATCAAAACAGTGATGCCTTGCAAGCACCACAATAAGAGGAAAGTACATTACAAATAAAACAACAGGCAACTATGCTTGTATGTCTGTAGCAAAGTACAATGGACACATTTACAAATTCTAAGTGTTCCACTATACTAATTAAGCATTTAGTTATATGATGGTCTCCTGTGTAAGTTAACTAGCACAATAAAAATACTATTCATAATATTCCTCTCTGTCTTTAAATCATAGCAATCGTCAGCCACTGAAAGAAAGAAAAAGAACCATTTAAAACGCTCTAACACAACATAAATAAACATTAAGACATACAGTACTATTAGATTGCAAGACATTCAGTACCTGGAAGAAGTCCAACTCAATGAACCCACTGTCGTCTACGTCAATCCTTTTGAACACTTCTACAAAAGTTAAAAAAGAAGAATTTGCTTTTAATTGATATAAAAAAATGTAAATGAAAAATAATACATAAACAATCACATTACATCGAATGTAAGAAATAATTGCCTCTGGAACAATTATGCACACACAAGGTGGTAATGAAAGACATAACACATTGAAAGACATTTTCAAATTCTACTTACATTATTAATTGAAAGTTACAAAAAAAAAAAGTCTAAAGGCCTGCTCACACCAAGAATGATAACTATAAAGATAACTATATTAGCGTCCACACCAGCGGACGATATCGTCTGTTTATTCTAAATGCACGCTCGTCTGCCGCTTTAAATTCTCGAGCTCATCATAGCAGGATTGATTCTGATTGGCTGTCAATGTTTTTATCGTTCATCAGCTGGAAAAAATCGTTCTGAAAGTGATTTCGACAATATCGTTTCTCTGTGCCTTTATCGTTATAGCTGTGGTGTGGACTCTGCTATTCTTTAATATTGAGAACGATTTTTAGAACTATATCTTTATAGTTATCGTCCTTGGTGTGAACAGGCCTTAACGTGAGACAATTCAGAAAGTATGTAATGTAGTGAACAACAATGCGGTCAACAAACCTCAAATACTTCATAGCCATACAATTATAATTAAAAAAAAGACCTACATTGAAACCTGTAATTAACACTCTTGAAACATATTTCAACCAATCAGGAAAAAAAAAGAGCTGTTCTTACTGAACATCATCTCCAGGCGCATCACACAGGACACAAAGTCATCAAAGTCGATCTTCATGTCTGCGTCTCCATAGCGTGCAGCCAGATTCTGATGAATGCAGTCATTCAGAGAGAATCCTGTGCAATGATTACCAATAAATCAAGTTACTTTGAGGTTACTTTGAAGTTTCACTTGCTGCTCCTTCATTAAAAACTCATTTTAAAACTAAAAGTTTAAATGAAGGTCAACCTGCTTCCTTTAAAGCCATTCGCATCTCTGGTGTACTCATACAGCCGGACCCATCCATGTCATTCTTCTTATAAATGACCTAAAAAGACAAGGATTTTAGCCCAAGACAACCCATCAGGTTTGCAAGTAGCATTTTTGAATTTCTATGCCACACTTAAGACAAACTTACCAGATATTTTTGAATTTTCTTCCAAATAGTGGCAAACTCAGCTAACCCTAGTTTACCATTGCCACTTTCCTGCACTAGAGTTAAGTCAAACTGCTTATGACTCTTTTAGAAATACTGAGAAGTTAAACAGAAATGTATCTTTAAACTACTTGTAAAGGATACATCCATGAGGTTCACCATGACCCTACATGTTTCCAAACTGAAACCATCTGTCTTGATATCTGTTCCTGTAAGCAGAAGACAAATTGTTTACTTAATGTCTTTATGAATACAATGTATTTATATATATATATATATA